GGGGACATGCAACGGCCGGCACAAGTAGCCACATTATGGTGCCTTCTGCAGAGTGCCCGGGCGGCCGGCTGGCCGACCATCCAGCTGACGCGGGCCATTTTCCATCAAGGGGGGGGGGGGGGACGGGCGAAGGAACATCGACCGAGATCTCGGCCCCCAAAGAAAGCGGCGATCATGTGACCGTCCATGACCGATCTCCATTCTGTCGCGGGCGCTGGGCCTTGAAAAAAACACAGGCTCGCGACGTGTGAGCATTCCCCCCCCCCCCCCGGGAGATGGGAGGGCGCGGAGGCGTGAACGTGGAGAAAGCCACCGGAAGAAGAGGGGCAAACATGCTGGGGAATAAAGTACATTGGGGTTGTTTGATCGGGAGAAGATACACAATCGAGGCATCGGCCGGCGGACGTATCTTCTCTCTTCCCCTCCCCCACTCTCCCCCTCAAGAAGGAGAGATATGAAGAGAGAGGAGGAAGGAGAGCAGCGCCACTGAAGGGACATCATGTGCGAAGAAGAGACGAAGGGTGGTGGGGGGGGGGTCGGGAGAAGAAGGGCAGCACACCAGGCGCGCGCATTCAGGCGCCCCTACACCTTCAGACCATGACGGCGGCGGCGTCGGTCGAGGCCGAGCCCGAGGAGGAGGCCGACTCGTTCTCCTCCTCGATGATGGTGACGATGGCGTCGATGTCGGCAGAAGAGAGCATCTGCCCGAGAGGGGTGTGGCGAACGGCGAGGGTCAGGAAAAGGCAGGGGACCGGGGGCATCGGCAGAAGTGGGCCACTTGACAGGCAGCAAAACGCACATCGACGCCATCCTTGCCGGTGATGACGGCCACCTCAATGTTACGGGGCCCGGACTGGACAACCTCCATGAGAGCGCGCACGGCGAGCACGGTGGCCGCGTGGCGGTCCATCGTATCCTGGTAGCGCTTCTCCAGGAACTCGACCACGGTGTTGGCGTTGCGGCCGATGGCGTTGGCCTTCCAAGAGTGGTAGATACCGGAGGGCTCGGTCTGGTAGAGGCGGGGCGGGCCGTCCGGGCGGTCGAAGCCGACAATCAGGGCCGACAGGCCGAAGGGCCGCGCGCCACCGCGCTGGGTGTAGCGCTGTGACGGGCCAGGCGAAGGGGGCATGAGTCACGCATGGCCGACAAAAGGGCAGGGGGCAGGGGGCAGGGGACAGGGGGGGCGGGGGGGCGGATGGGCGACCGGGGCACGCCAGATACGCACCTGCTGGATGCCAGCAATGTGGCGAGAAATGTACTCCACGGACACACGGTCCTCCACCTGGAGGCGGTGGCTCTGGCACTCGACGCGGGCCATGTCGGCCAGGACACGCGCATCAGCGGCGAGACCTGTGAGCGAGGCGGGGCGAGTGACAAAAGCCGATGGGCGTGAGTCAGGACACCGGAAAGGGAAGGTATGCGGGGACCGATGCAGAGGCAGGCGTGAAGGGCACACAGAGGGGGAGAGAGAGAGAGAGAGAGGCGAGGGGCAGGGAAGAGACGCACCAGCGAAAACCATGACAATGTGCTCATCCAGACGGAGGATCTTGCGAACGGTGCGCGGGTCCTGCAGGCGAGGGACGGCCTTACGCTCGGAGGCCAGGACAACGCAGTCCGTCCCGCGGACGGCCACGGCGGCAACACCGCGGCGGACGGCCTCCTGGGCGTAGTCCACCTGGAACAGGTGCCCGTCAGGCGAGAAGACGGTCAGGGCGCGATCGTAGCCGGACATGGTGATGCGTGTGCGGCGAGGCCTGCGGTCGGGGGGGGGGGGGGGGAGGAGAGATGAATGGTGAGTTTTGGCCACTGGGTCGGGCAGCCGCACAAGGGGGATGACGTCGGGCAGGGATGGTAGACACGCACTGGAAGGGGGGCCGGGGCGTGAGGCGTGGGGGGGGGGCGAAAGGGAAGGGGGGGAGGAGAGGGAAAGAGGCGAGGGGAGGGGAGACAGAGGCGCTTTCCTCCTCACTCCGGGCGTCACCGTCGGCGTGGGCGCCGAAGAATGGCCTATTGCGTCGACAAGGGTCGCCTCCTGGACGACCTGGGAGGTCTCCCCAGCCGGGCCCGTCCCGGCTCTCTAGAAAACCGCTGCCCCTGCCCTGGTGGGGGGCGGGCGGACAATATGTCGCACTGCCCGAGTCGAGGGTGTGTCATTGTGCCAACGGCCAGCGGGGCCAGCATGCCGAGGGGAGGGGGCGGGTGTGACAGCCACACGTCGACCGCCCCCCCCCCCCCCCCCCCCCCCACCCCCCGGCCCCGGCCCACCCCCCTCCCCCCCGGCCATTGGTTTCGCGAGCGCGCGCGCGCGCGCACCGGAGAGCCTGCGTGTCTTGGAGCCTTGCAGGGTGGGCCTCTTCAGTCTCGATGGACACGCCCGGGGGAGGGGGGCCGGGAGCGCGGGCCACTAGATTTGGAACCATCTCGGCGCGGGGCCCGGGCGAGATGCGTGGTCATGTGGCACGTGTGTGTGATGCGCCGGCACATGACCCGGGGCCTTTTTGGCCCGGCGTCGCACAGTGACCCGGGTCCTGGCAGGCCGCGCCATGGCCGCCTCGTCGAACTTTCCTCCACCCCGCCCCCTCCCCCCTCCTTTGCCTCTCGCGTCTCCCTGCCCCGCCTCCCCCCTCCATTCCTCTTCTCCTTGCTCCTCCTCCAGATTGCGCCATACTCGGGCTTTGATCGCCCCCCTTTCTACGACGCCCCTTCCCCCCCCCCCTCTCTCTCGCGAGCGAGCGAGTGCGCGCACCCGCCCGAATGGGATCGCCCAACAAGGAGGCCATCGAGGGGCCCCTCAAACAAGTAGCCACGGGGAGATCCGCCGATCAGGCGGCCTCGGACGAGTCCGTCCATGAGGCGACCAAGCAGGCCGCCCCCGAGGACTCCCCCGGGGCATCTTCCAAGCGGCCCACTGGGAAGCCCCTCGAGGGGTCCACCGAGGAGCCCACCAGGCCGACAGCCGCCAAGGAGCCCGCCAAGCAGCCCGCCAAACGCTCCGGCCTGAAAATGCCGGCTCCCAAGCGCCGGCGGGCAGATGCCGATCCCCCCGATGGCGCGGCCCCGGACGGGACCCCCCTCATCCCGGCAGACCTCCCGGTCATGCCCTTCGACTTGGCTGCCGGCGTGGATCCGCAGTTTAGATTCCTGCTCTTCGGGCCACCTCCAAGCCCAGGCGACACGGCTTCGCCAGCTCCACATGGGGGGGCATGGCGCTCCCCGCTCTTGACCGAGGCCGAGGCCGACTTTCTCTTCCGGCTGCGATCGCGCACGCCCAGCGACTCGGCGCATGCCGTCGGATCGGGCTTCGTCGCGGCCGAGCAGTTCCCCGGCACCGCGGCCATCGGCCTGGGCCACACGCGCCCGGTGGTTGCCAGCAGCCAAGTGGGCACATTCGGCGTGCCGGAGGCCAGCCAGCCCGCCGTGGACCCTGTCCCGGCTGCTGACGCTGCGCCGATCGGTGCACCTGCCTCGGCCGGCTCGACGATCCCGGCACCCGGCCAGGAGAGTGAGAGCACGGTCGACTCGGTCCGGCACCTGGTCCAGCCCGGGCCCGTGCCTCCGGGCTTGCTGGTGGATGGGGTGCCCGCCGGTGGGATCATTGATTCGGCGGATTTCGATTGGTGGCGCCTACAGGCGGCCATCATCGATGACCGATCTACCGGGGCCTCCGACTCGCACCTGGGCCACAGCCTCCAGCGCCTGGGGGTACAGCTGGGCATGGGGCCCGGGCGGGGCACAACCGGCGAGGGCGACCGGTCGCCGACGCTCTCGAGCGTGACGTCTTCGCCGGCGCTGCCACCGAGTGACGCGGCCAGGGACTCCGCCTCTGCCACGGGCGCAGGCTTGGCGGCGAGTCCCGACATCGACACCGGCACCGGCACCGGCACTGACACCGGCCCGGCTCCTCTTCATAATGCCAACCCGCAGTCGGCCCCAGGTGCCGAGCCGATGATCGATGTCGACGCGCAAATCAGCGCCGTCACTCGCTCGCAGGTAAAGCGCCTGCTGTTGCGGGATTTGAAGGCCCGTCGAATGCTTGCCCGCGATGCGGCCCTTTGGCACCTTTACGGACGAACAGCCGCCTGGCTCGACGCCGCCACAAAGCCCGGGCCTTCCGCCTTTGGAGCCGACACCGCGGCAGTGGCGGCCCCACCGCCGGACCCCGCCCAAGAACCGGCCCCCCAGGCCACGGAGGAGCCAGCGGCTCCCCATCGTGAACCGGTCCTGCTGTGCGCGCCGCGGCCCGATCCAACCCGCCGCCATGGTCGAGCTGGACCGGCGGCTCGGGCAGTTGTGCCGCCCCCGGCTCCTGGAGTTGACACGGTGGCTCGCTGCTCGGCCGATCGTGGCTGCTTGCTCCTTGCATTGCCACTCTTTCGTCGGTGTGCCTTCCATTTGGTTTCCTCCCCATCCAACCCGTCAGACCCTGACGCCGTAGCGCCCAATTTCTTGGAGCCCTGTGGCCATCCCATCGCCGGGGAAAGTTGTCGGGCACCGGTGGTTCGTGGGACCGACCCGGCGATCAAAGCCCGCTGCCCGCTTCACATACTCCCCGCGCCAGGGCAATAAAGTCCCCCCACAGACACACCCACCCACACACACCCGGAACCATGCGCCCGCGTGTGTGCACGGGTACGCACGAATAGATGGGGGGGGGGGGGAGGAACCGTACATAGGCATGTGCCTCAAAGTGCACAGGCGCGCGGGACAAGGACACTGCGGACAGGGTGCTCTATTGGGGAGTACCCTCATTTGACTTTCGGGAACCGGGGCGAAGCCGACAACAAGTGACAAGCAGGGCGGCCGACTCGACAGGGCGGGAGAGGGGGGTGGGGGGACTTTTCGACGGACCCCCCATCATTTCGGGGCCCTTAGTAGGGGATGATCTTGAAGTGCAGGCTAATGACGGCGTTCATGAAGCTCCGCAGCTCCTGGATCAAGTAGTAATAGGTCTGCAGGCCCTCGAAGTCCTTCTCATCCTGGATCTCGCGCATCGACGTAATCATGCTCGTCTATGGGCGCACGGCGGCGATGGCAGTACCAGGCCGAATGAAGCCGGCGGGTCAGAGGGAGACACAAGAGAGGACAGGGGAAGGGAAAGAAGGGGAGGGAGGGCGTACAGAAAAGGAAATGTGCTTGTTGTCCAGGACAACCTCGAGCTCCTGCTTGCCGCTGTTGTTGGGCCGAGGCCAGAGCTTGTCGTCCTCCCTGCAACAGCGCCACCAGCGCGTGTGAGGGGGGAGGGGACGGGGGGGGGTCAGGCATCGCTTGCAGATGGGAACTGAGCGGGAGGGGGATGCACGAACTCGACGATGTCGCTCTCAGCAACGATCTGCTGGAGCGCCTGGATGCTGGCCTTGCTCAGGTAGGCTGCCAAATGAGCAGCCGACCGGTGAGAGGGGACGGAAAAGAGCGGGCAAAGAGAGCAACAAAGGGTAAGTCAAGGGCACAGATCACCAATAGCGGTGGGGGGCGGGAGGAGCGGGGGGGGGGGGGGGAATGCCACGCGCGGCGCGCACCCTCCTTGCGGATGATTTTGTCACGGCGATACTTGCTCTGGTTGACATAACGCATCCTTCCGCTTGTCCCGGCAACTTCGAACTCCATGAATTCCAGGCCGTAGCGGCTGTTATGACCCATGCTGAGCAGCGAGGCGGGGGAGCAGGGGTGGGGGACGGGAGGCGGGGGCAGTCGATGGTGAGTGTCAGCGGGGCATCGATAGTGCCAGCCCAGGCAACGATGGACGCACAAGTAGCGGACGTAGAAGGTCTCGCTAGACGAGGAGGACTCGGCGGAGCCGTCCTGGACCGCGAAATCAGAGGAAGACATGGTGGTCGGAGAGGGGCGGGCCGGAGGGAGGGAGAAAACGAGACGGGAGGGGCGGCGTAGGGAGGGGAGAAGGAGGGGAACGGGGACGGCAGGGAACTGGATGGCCCCGGCCGAGGCCGCAGCCGGGGGGATGTTGCCTCGCCTTGGGGCGGCGGGTCGGCCGACGCTTGCGCGTGCGTGCCTGGGCCGCCTGCTGCGTCGGTGATCCGACATGCCAACGCATATCCACACCGAGTCGCCGCGCACTGCCTTCGAGCCGTAGACCGTTGGCATTTGGGATTGACAACGGCTCCCGCCCACATCGGCGGCGGCGGCGGCGGCGTACCCCGGCGCCCCGCTCCTTGGGCCGCACCGCCGCAGACCGGCCGGCAGCGAGGCGGGCCTCGCCGCATGGTGCTGGGCCTGCAAACGGAAGCGCGCGATCATTCGAAGATGCCTCCGGCCCGAGCGTCCGCCCGGGGAGCCATCGTGGAGGAGAGTCCCCACCGCGTCATGTGGGACCCATACAATCGGCCGATGGTGAGTACCACCCATCAGAGGCCCCGATATGGGAGCGCCTCCGCCTCTTCGACCGGGATGTCTCGGCGACAGGGAGTGCTTGGGGGCTTGCCCATGCCCCCCGGGGGATCGTGCCGGCCCGCTTGGCGGCAGCACCGAGTTCGGCCGAGTCTCCCGGATGGCCATGCGTGCCGGGGAAGGGAGTGGAGGAGGGCCATTGGCCAGGGAGGGCCCGGCCACCTGGGTAAGGTGTCTCCCTTGAGCCGGGGATCACCAGGACCGGGAGCCTTGACGGTCGAGCGCCGAAAGATGGGGAAGAGAAACTCCTGTAAGCTCGACGATCGCCCGTGGCCGGCTGCGCTTTACACCTCCGCGAGGGAAAAAAAGCGTGGGGATGGCCTGAGCGGAAAGCCCGCGCAAGTGGGCTGCGAGAGGTGGCGTATACGCCAATCGGGATGATCCTCCAAAGGAAGCCAGCGCATGCCGTGGTTTTGGGGTGCCTTGTACTTGCCGTGGATTGGACAATGGCCTTTCCTGCCCGGCTTGCGACACGTAGCGAGGAGCATCAGCGTCGCTCGATTTGCGGCTGGGGCCAGGAAGAAAGAAACGGAGAAGTCGGGACAGTGGCTATGGATGGAGAACATCCCGCGTGAAGCCATGCTTCTCGGCATCCAAGAGTATTCAAGTGAGACTGGTCCCAGGTGTGGCCCTGGTAGTCGCGTGGTACGAAGGGGATCCGGAGGGTACATTTTTTTTGTCGAGGCAAGAAGCGCACGGGGCCGGGGACATGGGGCCCGCGGTGCGGATCACCGGGACAGAATCACCGAAAGGCAAGTGCCCCGGCTGCCTGCCCCGCGCCCGGCGGCCGGGATGGATGGAGCCACACAACAACCGGCCGGGCTGAGGGCCGCCGCGGAACCGTGCCGGGACTTTATCCCGCCCGGCCGAGGTGATCGGGGAGGCATTGTGGGCGGAGAAGACGCCGTGGGCTGCTCACTTGATCACCGATAGTCGCGCGCGCTGAGGGGGGGGGGGGAGAGCGAGGCCGGTGTCCGGAGCCCCGGCGCCCGCCAGAGGCAAGTTAAAGGCGAGCAATTAACTCAGCCTGCCACCAATCGATCGACGATCCACCGGGGGGAGCATCCTCGTGGGAGTGTCGAGCCCGTCGTGGGCCGCAGGGAAATAAGGCACCCGCCCGGCATCTCAGCATTGCCAGGAAGGTCTCCCTTTGGAGTGGCTGTCTGCCTGTGGTCCACACAAAGGGAACAGAAAACCTCCCGCTGGTGATCGCAGCAAGAGTGGTTACCTCTCGCGGGAAGTGCGGACCTGCAAGATCCCCCGACCGGGGCCCATCGCCTGACTGGTGGCAACCGGGGTGCCGGTCGACTCTGCCATGCGTTGGCCGGGGAGCGGCGCCCGTAGGAGGACGCGGACCCCATCGCCCCCGGGGGCCCCATGAAGATGGAGGAGACACAGCCGTCGTGGGCCCGAAGCACGGGAATGTCTTCTTCTCTGCTTTTTTTTTCCCTCCTCCTCAAACAGGCAGGGACGCCGTGACAACGCGCGCTTTGCCGGGCGGCACGGAATGACAGGACAGCCAACCCGCCGGCAACTGGCCAGCATGTGTCCTGGCACACCTACTCTTGGAAGAGATCCCACGCCCGAGGACCGACCCCACAGATGTCCCGCGCACAGGTGTGCCGGCCCGCCTCCGCCACAAGGATCTCGGCTGCAAGGTGTCCTGGTCGACAAGCTTCCCCAATAGGCAGGGAAACAGCCATTTGGAGCCTGTGCACGTGCAGCGCGGCCATCTGATGGACAGGAGCATCAACAGGGACGCACTCGCCAAAGTGCGGCCACAGCCAAGGGGAGGGGGGGGAGTCGCCTCGAGGGGCAAGGGTCACTGTGGAGGTCTTCCCTCTCCCGAGATGACATGTGAGAGGGCGAAATCGCGCTCACCTACGCGAGAGGCGGCTCAAGCCTACATGGACGGGGAGATGAAGCGCCGCACCCTGCAGCAAAGTAGCCCACCCGGCGAGTGTGGCCCAGTGAAGCGTGGCCCGGAAGTGCGATGATCCATCCCCTCGAGGGGAAGTCAAGTGGCTTTGCCCTGTGGTTGGAGGGGGGGGGGCTAAGGAGAAATGCATCGGAGAGCGGGACGCAGTGGGGAGGAGGGGCGATGAATGACGGTGAGCAGACATCCTCCCTCTTGTGGGGAAGGCAATGGAATGGTAAAGGGCCGAAATATAAATGACCCCTTTTTTCGTGCATGCTGCTTGGTTGGATGTGGCCACCCAAGAGGGGGGGGGGGGGGGGGGGGCACGGTCCCCAGAGGACTTCTTTGCTGCTCTCAAACCCGGATCCCCCTCCGCGCCAATGGCGGTGGTAAGTCGCTGTTGGCACACCGCGGTGCGGGAGCATTTTACGTGTGTCTACTGCCAGCGCTGGGGGAATGCCATTCCCACTTGGCGAGGTGAACTCGAAAACCGCTAGACAGTCTGGGTGTCTGGAGTACCGGATCCGTGGGTCTGTTTCAGATTGGATGGTGCTCCGTCCAGGCCCTCCATCGGTCGCTCTTCCCGCGCGCGCGCGCGCGCGCACCCGCCTCCCCCCCCCCCCAGGATACCATTGCATCAGGAGCCTAGCCGATTGCTGCCTCAGCAAGGGCTCCGGAAACCGGGGTGCAACCCAGGGCGGGTGTCCCCCCCCCTCCGCCCCGCCTCAGGGCGGTCCAGCAGATTCTCTCCCGCGCATGGCCCGTTTTTCCGCCCGCGCTCGACCAGCAAAAGGAGGGACGTGGGCGCGGGGGCGCGTTGTCAAGACTCGACGAAAAATACTGGGCCCCCCCGCCCTTCAGGCCTCTGTACTCTGGTGACTTTCTCGGGTTCGGGTGAAAGGAGGCCGTGCTGGGCAGCCCCCGGCTCCCCGCCGGGGGCCCAACCAGCAGTTCTCCCTCCCTCCCCCCCCCGCCGTCGCTTGTGTTCCTCCCTCCCCCCCTTGCCCGGCCCCTTCCCTCCCCCCTCGCTGCCGCCTCGCCTCCTTCTCTTTCTTCCTGGCTCTCCTCGCCTTGCGTGGCGTCGGTCCTCCTCCCCTCCTCCCCTCCTCCCCTCCGCCCCCTCCGCCCCCTCCGCTCCTCGTTCGGCCCTTGTCCCAGCTCCCCTCTTTCCTTCCCTCCCCTTCCCCATCCTCCTTGACCGGTTCCGCTCCCGAGGTCCCCTTTGCCTGCGAGTACGAACCCACCTTGTTCTTTTCCCCCGACCGTCGCCACGACTCTCCCTCTTCGGGCGTCGGTATCCCAGAGTCTCGTCTTTTCTCACTCTCGCTGCACGGTGCCCTCGCATCCCCCCCCCCCCCTTCCCCTGCTCTCCTCCCCCTTCCCGTGCCCAGCCTCTGAGCTCCCC